AATCACCATGTAAATAATGATCTGCAGGATGTATTTTCATTCACTGGAGCAAATTTGGTACAAATACCCGGTATGCACAAATTTGAATACTGGTGGGGTTGGCGGGGAAATTGCTTCTGTCATTTGGGTGTTGTAGTTGCTAGGATTTATAGTTCACATGTAACAAAGAGCATTCTGAACCCCGCCAAAAATGGAATTGAACCAAAGTTGGTACAGAGAACTCCCATGATCAACACAAAATACTGGAAGGGTTTGGTGGGCACTGATCTTGAGTTTGGGAGTTGTAGTTCGCCTACATCCAGAGAGCACTGTGGGCTCAAACAATGATGGATCTGGACCAAACTTGGCATGGATACTCAATATGCCCAAATGTGAACACTGATGGGGTTTGGGGAAAATAGACTTTGACATTTAAGAGTTGTAGATCCTGGGATTTATAGTTCACCTACAATCAAGGAGCATTCTGAACCCCAATGATAGAATTGGGCCAAACTTCCCACACAGAACCCCCATGACCAACAAAAAATACTGTGTTTTCTGATGGTCTTTGGCGACCCCTCCCTCACCCCTTCGCGACCCCCTCAGGGGTCCCGACCCCCAGGTTGAGAAACACTGCTCTAAGGGGTTTGGTTGATTTGTGCTTTGCCAAACTGAATTAGTGTGGTGAAATGATGCATCTCTAAGGTTGGATCTACACTGCCCTATATATCTCCGTTGATGGGAACAAGAGCGGGGAAAGCCCCTCAACTCTGGAACTTCCTTCTTTCCGTGGGTGCCAGATCTGCCTGCTCCCTGCTGTCCTTCTGGGGGAAGGCTAAAACCTTTTTATTCAGGCAGGCTGTTAAAGATGAAGGTGTTTAAGATCTAGTCGGGGGTGCTGTGGTTTTATATGATTTTTTTTTTGTTTTAACCTGAACTGTTTTAATAGTAATTATGCTTAATACTGTTTGAATATTTGTATATTTGAGGTTATGTTGTATGACTTTTAATTGTGAGCCACTTTGAATCTCTGGATGGAGTGAAAAAGCAGGATATAAATAAACATAGTAATAATATCCCAGGAACCAATTCCAGATTATCTGTTTTGAACTGGATTATATGAGGACACTTCCACATAAGCCCTATATCCCAGGATCTGATCCTAGGTTTTCTGCTTTAAACTGGATTGTATGAGTCTATACTTCCAGATAATCTAGGATAGAAAGGAAACCTGGAACCAGATCCTGCGATATAGGGCCTGTATGGAAGGGCCCTGAGCCCCCCTCCACACAGCTGAACTGGAATATATGGCAGTATGGACTCAGGGCCCTTTCACGCAGCCATATAACGCAGAATAACAAGGCAGAAAATCCCACATGCTTTGAATGGGGTTATTCGAGCCCACACTGCCATATATTCCAGTTCAAAGCAGATAATGTGAGATTTTATATAGTTGTGTGGAAGAGGCCTCAGGGCCCTTCCAGGCAGGCCCTATATCCCAGGATTTCTGGCAATGTGGACTCAAACAATCCAGTTTAAAGCAGAAAACCTGGGGGCCCTTCCACACTGCCCTATATCCCAGAATATTAAGGCAAAAAATCCCACATCATCTGAGTGTGGACTCAGATAACCCCATTCTAGCAGATATTGTGAGATTTTCTGCCTCAATATTCTGAGTTATATGGCTGGGTGGAAGGGCCCAGGGTCTACACCACCAGATAACTTGGGATAAGGAGATAATATGGATCAGATCCTGATCTAGAGGGAAATGAAGATCAAGCCTAAAAGGGCTGTTACCAAGATGTGATGCTTTGAGAGTGCAAGCACATAAGAAAGGTCAGGGTGAGAAGTGTGGAGTTTGGACCCTTCCACACAGCCATATAACCCCGAATATCAAGGCAGAAAATCCCACAATATAGGTTTCGAACTAGGTTATTTGAGGGCCCTTCGACACAGCCATAAAACCCTGAATTATCAAGGCAGAAAATCCCACAATATATGCTTTGAAGTAGGTTATTTAAGGATCCTTCCACACAGCCATATAACCTAGAACATCAAGGCAGAAAATCCCATAATATAGGCTTTGAACGAGGTTATTTGAGGGCCCTTTGACACAGCCATATAACCTAGAACAGGGGTCCACAAACATTTTAAACAGATGTCCAGGTCACAGTCCCTCAAACTGTTGGAGGGCCGGATTATAATTTGAAAAAACCCATGAATGAATTCCTAAGCACACTGACCATATCTTATTTGTAGTGCAAAAACACTTTAAAACAATACAATAATTAAAATGAATAACAATTTTAAGAAATATAAAATTAGTATTTCAATGGGAAATGTGAGCCTACTTTTGACTGATGAGATAGGATTGTTGTTGTTGTTGTGTGCTTTCAAGTCGTTTCAGACTTTGGTTGACCCTGAGTGAGGGCCAGGTAAATGACCTTGGAGGGCCGTATCCGGCCCTGGGCCTTAGTTTGAGGACCCCTGACCTAGAACATCAAGGCAGAATCAGAGGCGGCCCTAGGTAATTTTCAAAGGTAAGCAAACAGTATTTTGGTGCACTCCCGCCACCCACCCCCAACCGATCACTGATATATATTTTCTGTTCGTCATGGGAGTTCTGTGTGCCATATTTGGTTCAATTCCATCATTGGTGGAGTTCAGAATGCTCTTTGATTGTAGGTGAATTATACATCCCAGTAACTACAACTCGCATATGTCAAGGTCTATTTTCCCCCAAGAGCACCCCTGGGCAAAATCAACCCTACTGCGAATGCTTACTTTGCGTAATGGCTTGAGCCGCCCCTGGGCAGAATATACTGTAATATGTTTTGACCTGGGTTATTTGAGGGCCCTTCCACATAGCCATATAATCCCGAATATCAAGGCAGAAAATCCCACAATAATATGTTTTGAACTAGGTTATTTGAGGGCCATTTTACACAGCCATATAACCCTGAATATCAAGGCAGAAAATCCCACAATATATGTTTTGAACTAGGTTATTTGAGGGCCATTTTACGCAGCCATATAACCCTGAATATCAAGGCAGAAAATCCCATAATATATGCTTTGAACTAGGTTATTTGAACAAGAATGATTGACAACTGGGAAATAGAGGGAGAATACATGGAGGCAGTGACAGACTTTGTATCTCTAGGTGCAAAGATTACTGCAGAGACAGACTGCAACCAGGAAATCAGGAGACGCTTACTTCTTGGGAGGAGAGCAATGTCCAATCTCGATAAAATAGTGAAGAGTAGAGACATCACACTGGCAATGAAGATCCACACAGTCAAAGCAATGGTACTCCCCATAGTCACCTATGGATGTGAGAGCTGGACCATAGGGAAGGCTGAGCGAAGGAAGATAGATGCTTTTGAACTGTGGTGCTGGAGGAAAGTGCCGAGAGTGCCTTGGACAGTGAGAAGATCCAACCAGTCCATACTTCAAGAAATAAAGCCTGACTGCTCATTGGAGGGAAGGATAGTAGAGGCCAAGATGAAGTACTTTGGCCACATCATGAGAAGAACGGAAAGCTTAGAGAAGACAATGATGCTGGTGAAAATGGAAGGAAAAAAGAAGAGGGGCCGACCAAGGGCAAGATGGATGGATGGTATCCTTGAAGTGACTGGATTAACCTTGAAGGAGCTGGGGGTGGTGACGACCGACAGGGAGCTGTGGCGTGGGATGGTCCATGAAGTCACGAAGAGTCGAAAACGACTGAACGAATAAACAATAACAGGTTATTTGAGGGCCCTTTCACACAGCCATATAACCCTGAATGTCAAGGCAGAAAATCCCACAATATATGTTTTGAACTAGGTTATTTGAGGGCCATTTTACACAGCCATATAACCTAGAATATCAAGGCAGAAAATCCCACAATATATGCTTTGAACTAGGTTATTTGAGGGCCATTTTACACAGTCATATAACCCTGAATATCAAGGCAGAAAATCCCACAATATAGGCTTTGAACTAGGTTATTTGAGGGCCATTTTACACAGTCATATAACCTAGAATATCAAGGCAGAAAATCCCACAATATATGCTTTGAACTAGGTTATTTGAGGGCCATTTTACACAGCCATATAACCCTGAATATCAAGGCAGAAAATCCCACAATATATGCTTTGAACTAGGTTATTTGAGGGCCTTTTGACAGCCATAAAACCCTGAATATCAAGGCAGAAAATCCCACAATATAGACTTTGAACTAGGTTATTTGAGGGCCCTTCGACACAGACATATAACTTAGAACATCAAGGCAGAAAAATCCCATAATATATGTTTTGAATTAGGTTACTTGAGGGCCATTTTACACAGTCATATAACCTAGAATATCAAGGCAGAGAATCCCACAAGATATGCTTTGAACTAGGTTATCTGAGGGCCATTTTACACAGCTATATAACCTAGAATATTAAGGCAGAAAATCCCATAGTATGTGCTTTGAACTAGGTTATTTGAGGGCCATTTCACACAGCCATATAACTTAGAATATCAAGGCAGAAAATCCCAAAATATATATATTGAACTGGATTATCCGAGTCCACACTGCCAAAGCAGAAAATGTGGGATTGTATTCATCTGTGTGGAAGGGGCCATGCTGTCCAGGGAGGGGAGAAAAACCCGGGGCAAGGAGGCACTGGAAACCCCCGAGATGAGAAGGGGGGGATCTCTGTGGATCCCCCTGACAAAGCCGGTAGTGGGCGAGGCTGAGCTTGCCAATGCAGCTGTGCGCGTGATTTTGCAGTAGCAGCAGCAGCAGCATCGGCGTCTTCTTCTTCTTCTTTTCGCTTGGGCGCTCTCCCTCCCGGTGGAAAGCAAGGGTCTTGCGGCAGAAGCCCCTCCCCTCCTGCCAAGGCTGGCCTGGAAACGGAGAAGGGGAGCAAGCAGCGAGGAAAGCCCGGAGAAAGCCCCCGCCCCCTTCCCTGCTTGCTGCAACTTGCTGCAGTGTTGGGGCACCCGGGCGGGCGCGCGAGGGAGTGCGCGCGCGGGAGAGGCAGGGGAAGGAGGGAGGGCGCGTGCGTGCGCGGTGGCGCCGGGCAAGGGCGCGTGCTGATCCCCGGGCAGGCGCGCGGGCGGGCAGGCAGGCAGGCGGGCTGCCTGGCTCCCGATGTCCCATGTGCTTGCTCTCCGGGCGGCGAGCGGGCGGCTCTTGCGGCTCTTTTGGCGGAGGATGCTGCGGCAGGCGATCCACAGAGGGCTCCAGTCGTTCTGCCGCCAGCTGGGCTTGTTCGTGAGCCGGCACCCGGTCTTCTTCCTGACGGTGCCGGCCGTGCTGACGCTGATCTTCGGCTCGAGCGCGCTGCACCGCTTCCAGCTGGAGCGGGACCTGGAGCGGCTGGTGGCGCCGAGCCACAGCCTGGCCAAGATCGAGCGCCGCCTGGCCGGCAGCCTCTTCCCGCTGGACCGCGCCAAGGGCCAGCTCTACTCGGACTTGCACCCGCCGGGCCGCTTCGGCCGCCTCCTCCTCCTGGCCAAGCCCGGCGGCAATGTTTTGCTCCAGGCGGAAGGACTGCTGCAGATCCACCGAGCCGTGCTGGAAATGAAGGTGAACCACAAAGGCTATAATTATACTTTTTCCCATCTGTGTGTGTTGAGAAGTCAGGATAAGCAATGCGTGCTGGATGATATAATTTCAGTGCTAGAGGAGCTGAGGCAGGCCGCCCTCGCCAATAAGACCGCGGCCAGGGTGCCAGTCAGCTATCCCAACACTAAATTGAAGGTATGCTCTTCGCTCCTGCATGCGTTTGCCCCTTGCCGAGCCCAACACAACACTGCCTGGCTTGCCCGACACAGCCAAGCCAGCACACCACACACCACGGGGAGGAGGAGGAGCATGGTGGCACTTGGGGTTGTGTTGTGTGACAGCCGGTGGCAGGAGGAGGAGGAGGAGGAGGAGGAGGAGGATCCTGGCGGTGAGTGGGAACCACCACGTTGGACAACAAGGGAAGAAGGGGCATGGGGACATGGGAACGGGGAGGACACCAGTCTGCAGAGCACCCCCAAACTCTGGGGTGGCGAAGGCTTTCCTGGCCGAAATCACTGGGTTGCTGTGAGGTGTCCGGGCTGTAAGAACAAAAGCTGGCTACCAATATTTTAAAAAACACTCAGAAAACAATCATGGCCAGCTAACACCTCCCAACCAAAGATTCCTCCATGCAGGAAGCAGCCAGGCTTTGAGGCTGCAAAGCCATTCATAGAATCCTCAAGTTGGATGAGACCTCAGTCCAACCCCTGCCAAGAAGCAAGAAATTTGCAGAAAACGGGGGATTCCAGATAGAAAATAATCAGGGCCAGCTAACACTCCCAACAAAAGGTTCCTCCATGCAGGAAGCAGCCAGGCTTTGAGGCAGCAAAGCCATTCATCGAATCCTTGAGTTGGAAGAGACCTCACAGGCCATCCAGTCCAGGCTTTGAGGCTGCAAAACCATTCATAGAATCATCAAGTTGGATGAGACCTCAGTCCAACCCCTGCCAAGAAGCAGGAAAATTGCAGAAAACAGGGGATTCCCGACAGAAAACAATCAGGGCCAGCTAACAAACCCAACAAAAGCCATTCATAGAATCCATGCAGGAAGCAGCCAGGCTTTGAGATTGCAAAGCCATTCATAGAATCCTCAACTTGGAAGAGACCTCATGGGCCATCCAGTCCAGGCTTTGAGGCTGCAAAACCATTCATAGAATCATCAAGTTGGATGAGACCTCAGTCCAACCCCTGCCAAGAAGCAGGAAAATTGCAAAAAACGGGGGATTCCCGACAGAAAACAATCAGGGCCAGCTAACACCTCCCAACAAAAGATTCCTCCATGCAGGAAGCAGCCAGGCTTTGAGGCTGCAAAACCATTCATAGAATCCTAGAGTTGGATGAGACCTCAGTCCAACCCCTGCCAAGAAGCAGGAAATTTGCAGAAAACAATCAGGGCCAGCTAACACCTCCCAACAAAAGATTCCTCCATGCAGCAAGCAGCCAGGCTTTGAGGCTGCAAAGCCATTCTTAGAATCCTAGAGTTGTAAGAGACGTCATGGGCCATCCAGTCCAACCCCCTGCCAAGAAGCAGGAAAATTGCAGAAAATAGGGGATTCCAGGCAGAAAACAATCAGAGCCAGCTAACATCTCCCAACAAAAGATTCCTCCATGCAGGACGCAGCCAGGCTTTGAGGCTGCAAAGCCATTCATTGAATCCTCGAGTTGGAAGAGACGTCATGGGCCATCCAGTTCAACCCCCCGGACAAGAAGCAGGAAAATTGCATTCAAAGCACCCTCCACAGATGGCCATCCAGCCTCTGTTTAAAAGCTTCCAAATAAGGAGCCTCCACCACACTCCAGGGCAGAGAGTTCCACTGCTGAACGGCTCTCACAGTCAGGAAGTTCTTCCTAATGTTCAGATGGAATCTCCTTTCTTGTAGTTTGAAGCCATTGCTCCATCGCGTCCTAGTCTCCAGGGCAGCAGAAAACAAGCTTGCTTCCTCCTTTCTATGACTTCCTCTAAAGTATTTATACAAGGCTATCATGTCTCCTCTCAGACTTCTCTTCTTCAGGCTAAACATGCCCAGCTCTTTAAGCCGCACCTCATAGGGCTTGTTCTCCAGAACCATCCAGCCTCTGCTTAAAAACTTCCAAAGAAGGAGCCTCCACCACACTCCGGGGCAGAGAGTTCCACTCAGTGCAACTCAAGGTGGCCAATTGCAACATTCACACTTTGGCCTCAAGCAAAAGGATGCTTGCCACAGATGCAGGTGAAACGTCAGGGTTTCTATATCTGTGGAATGTCCAGGGTGGGAGAAAGAACTCTTTCCATATATGTATAAAATGTCATTTAAGGACTATTTGCTTTTGGAATAATGTGTACTGAAATAAGTCCTGTATGGCAAAAGTTGGTTAATTGTTGGGATGTATCAAATAAAATTTTATATATATTATTTGATACATTCCAACAATTAACATTATATATATATATATATATATATATATATATATATATATATCACATTTATTTGATACATCCCAACAATTAACAAACTTTTCCCATGCAGGACTTATTTCAGTATACATTATTCCAAAAGTAAATATTCCTTAAATGACATTTTATACATTCCTTAGTTATGTATCACCCTCGCCCTCCCCTCATTTCCCTCACCCCCTTGGAACAGCAATTCTAAATGATGTCATTGCATCAATTTAACCGTGTGGAAAGCCTATAGATTTATAAACCCCACTTGCCCAATTTCCAACAAACCTCACAACCTCTGAGGATGCCTGCCATAAATGTGGGCGAAACGTCAGGAGAGAATGCTTCTGGAACGTGGCCATACAGCCTGGAAAACACCCAGCAACCTAGACAAGAGTTCTTTCTTCAACCTGGACATTCTAGAGATATACAAACCCCACTTGCCTAGGGCCCTTCCACACAGCCTTATATTCCAGAAAATCCCCCAATATCTGCTTTGAACTGGGTTATCTGCATTCACACTCAGATAATGTGGAATTTTCTGCCTTGATATTCTGGGATATAGGGCTGTGTGGAAGGGCCCCCAGACCTCACAACCTCTGAGGACGCCTGCCATAAATGTGAGCGAAATGTCAGGAGAGAATGCTTCTGGAACATGGCCATACAGCCCGGAAAACTCACAGTGACCCATCACCAAACTCTTTTTTTTCGTGCAAGGGCGATTTGAGAAACTGCAAGTTGCTTCTGGTGTGAGAGAATTGGCCGTCTGCAAAGATGTTGCCCCGGGGATGCCCAGATAATGGATGTTTACCATCCTGTAGGAGGCTTCTCTCATGTCACTGCATGAGAAGCTAGAACTCAACAGATGGGAGCTTACCCCTCTCCCCGGATTCGAACCGCCAACCTGTCCTGCCAGGACAAGGGTTTAACCCTCCTACCAAACTCTGGGTGACCCCTGTGTTAAGTTATCGCAGGAGGAGCAGAGGCCGTCCATCCCTCACATGTGCCCACTGTGCCTGTAGCATGAGGAGAACCCCCTTGCGATGCCGCTCCTCCGATGGGCTTCCCTCAAATACATCACTGCCAGAAGCCTGCACTGTGGTGTGCTCTGAGTGCTGCAGTGATTCGAGGAATTTCATCCCAGAAGCAAATTGAGGGCCTGAAGTGCCCGCCTTGCCAAGGCCCACTGCTTGAACCCATTGAGCTACAGCATCAGGGCCGTCCCTATGCAAAAGCACATAGGGAAGCAGGCTAAAAGGGTTCACATTCTGACCAGTTCAAATATCCCCATCCCAAGGCTAGCACACACTCTATGAACCTTCAGAATGGGATCCTCCTCTTGCCTTTCGTAGAAAATATCTCCACTCCTGGAAAGTTGCATTTAGGATGCCTTTGGAATAAAGATGACTTGGAATGTGCTTTTCCTGCATGGCCCATGTGGTCTCTTCCGACTCTAGGATTCTATGACAAGGCAGATGGAGAGTTTGCAATATTACAAATATTACAATATATTAATATTGTAAATAAATGGATCCATAAATGGTCCATAATATTGTAAATAAATGGATCCATAAATAAATGGATATATAGTAAATAAATGGATCCAAAAAGGAAGAGAGAAAAATAGGAAAATAAATGAGTAATAGGAAACAGCACCTTGCTGGCTAGTAGAGTCTTGTGTACAAATCAGAGCTATTAAAATGTATCCAAACTTGGAAAATGGCCTTTTGTGGCAAAAGGATGCACGTCCTCATTCCCACTTTGAGTCTCCTTCGAGGGAGGTAAATGAATATATAAATATATATATTTACATATAAATATATATTTATATATATTATATAAATATATGTTTATATATAAATGATATCAATAATAATAATAATAATAATAATAATTGCACCCTCCTCGCCCCAATTCATGTAAAAATTGTTCAAATTGACTTGGTAACTTTTGGAAAGAAGGCTTTAATGGCCAGAATCACTGCGTTGCTGTGAGTTTTCCAGGCTTTGAAGCTGCAAGGCCATTTAATGCTAATCAAAGTGGCCAACTACAACATTCACACTTGCCTCAAGCAGACAAGAGTTCCCAACAGGGTATAAATAAAGTTTTTAAATTATAGTTATCGTCATTATTATTTTCTGGGCTGTATCGCCATGTTCCAGAAGCATTCTCTCCGGATGTTTTGCCCACATCTACGACAGGCATCCTCAGAGACCTCACAACCTCTAAGGTTGCCTGCCATAGATGTGGTTTTTTTTTTGTCGTGTCAGGAGTGACTCCTGGTGTGAGAGAATTGGCCATCTGCAAGAGCGTTGCCCAGGGGACGCCTGGATGGTTTGATGTTTTTAATCATCCTTGTGGGAGGCGTCTCTCATGTCCCTGCATGAGGAGCTGGAGCTGATAGAGGGAGCTCATCCGCCTCTCCCCGGATTCGAACCTGCGACTTGTCGGTCTTCAGTCCTGCCGGCACAGGGCTTTAACTCACTGTGCTACCAGGGGCTCCATATAGATGTGGGTGAAATATTAGGAGAGAATGCTTCTGGAACATAGCCATACAGCCTGGAAAACTCACATCAACTCAGAGCTCCACGGTGTCATCCGTTTTGCATTTTGATGCAAAGATACCAACATCATTCAGTTGCTGTGAGTTTTTCGGGCTGTATGGCTGTGTTCCAGTAGTTTTCTCTCCTGACGTTTTGCCTGCACCTATGGCAGGCACCCTCAGAGGTTTGTTGAGAGGTCTGTTGGAAAATGTCAGGAGAGCATGCTACTT